GGGGGGGCAAAGGTAGAAGGTCTTATTGGGTGGGCAGACAGTGTTGGAGCACACATTAGCCCTAGTACCCTGGAGATTTCCTAGTGAGACTTCTTGTCCCTTCCACCTGACCTGTCATCTATATCTGAGCTTACGCCTCAGATAGGTGCGAGAGCGTGGGTTGGCTTGCGGCTGGGCCAGGCACAGTTACAGCCCAGCTCGGAATTAATTCCCAGTGGCTGCCGTCAAAAGCTCTCAGGCAGTAAGAAGAGGAGGTGGCAGTCTCTCTAAAAGCAGGAGAGGTGGTTTGTTTTCCTCAAGGACTCATGGCTGAGCTGCCGGGTCACAGGATTGAGAGTGGGGGCCACACCTCCTGAGTCTGATTATGCAGGAGGCAGCCTGATGGAGGCGGGAGGGGAGAGGTGGCCGCTGTGCCTCTGACAGCCCTGCCTCCCTCCTGATTGTCAGGAGAGAAAGATGCCCAGAGAGGAGGTCGCCATTATCTCTTCCTACAAAGGGATTAGTGTGGCTTGTGAGAAATTAACGGCTTTTTAGTCACCACAGAAATAGTCATGAATTAACATTAGGACCAGAGATGTAAAGCAGCTAAAATAGGCCCTTCTCCACCTCCTTTCTCTCCCTTCCTCTGTTGATTTCCTATTTTAAAATGAGAGCTAGCTAGCCCTTTCTCTCTCCCTTCCCTCCCTCCCTCCCTTCCTCTTTTTTTTCTTTCTTTACCCAAAGCAGACATCATCCCCTTTGCAAGTGTGGTCTGTCTTCAGGGAATGATTCAGTGTGTGGCTGTCTGTAGAATGCGTCAGCGAGAGATTGAGAAACAATTTAGACGGTAGCATTTCTACCAGGTCATGTCTTTCGGACCATTCTCGTGCATGGATGTCCTTTCACGGCAGACCAAGGTCTCAGGAGACCACAGTAGTCTTTACCTTTAGTGTAAGTACCCAGGAAGCTGGGGCAGAAGGACCTTGACTTTGAGGCCAGCCTTGGCTACAAAATGAGAGCCTGTCTCAAGAAACAAATTCTCAGGAGTCTCTCTAGTGACAGTCCCTTTTATCCAAGTACTGTGTGGCATTCAGTATCGGTTATCATGGATTGCAGATGTTGTACCTAGATACACATGTGCACGTGAGGGTGAGGGAGAGAAGAGGATGAGGAGGGAATTAGACCTACCACGTGTTAGATACTGGGCTAGAAGCTTATTTCTGATTTAACATGTACTTTTCTTTTTTTTTTGTTGTTGTTTTTCATTTTTTATTTATTTGAGACAAATACTTGCTTTGTAGTACAGACTAGTCTCGGACTCGTGATCTCCATGATCCTCTTGCCTCGGTTTTCCCGGTGCTAAGATTACAAGTATACCTGCACCTGCCTAACAGAATGCAATTTGTTACTAAGGACCCCGTTATTGTATTGATAAGGCATTGTCCCGTGTGCTGTGTTATAGAGAGGAAAGGAGAGCCGACTCCATTAGCGAAGACAGACTTGAAAAACAAATCAGATACTGTTTGTCTGTACATTAAATAACTTACGGTACTACAGTCTGATAGAAGCCTGTGGTGGAGGAATAATGTAGGAGGGCTCCCTGACGCTGACCCAGGGCTGTGCATCTACAGATGAGATGGGGGAAGGCGAGAGGACCCAGGAGGAAAGTCAACTATGTGGTCGCTGGCTGAAGCCGTGGGCTTCAACCTGGCAAGCCAAGGACACAGCATAAGCACAGTCAGACTCAGAGAGAAAACCGGCCCCTGAGGTGGGAGCTCGCAGGTGAGGTCGGACCAAGGGTAGAGATGGTGCTGGCTTAGGGGTCCCGTGCTGCCCTGAGGGCTGGTGGGCTTGCCTGAGGAACAGTTTATAAGTGCAGAGTTCACCGTCTCTGTTCCCCCTCCTGGCTTCACCAGCCTGGGAGCAGACAAGAGTCTGCGCAGGGAATTAGCTTGTGTGGTGGCAACGCTCTCTTGTATGTTGGAACTCTGCAGGCTTTCCCTAGAGAGGGAGGAACCTGGCAGATGTGATGAGTGTGCAGGGCACACCTGTTCTGTTCACAGCCTCCCCAGCATTTCTGTTTTGCACACAGGCCTCTGTGTCACATTGACATTGCACACCCCGTATCGACCTGTGCACTCGTTCATCACCTCAGGGTGAGAAATATCCCCCCCTCCCAGTACATCTTGCCTGAACTTTACTATTTCTGCTTTATTGAATCTGAATCAGAAAGGCGTCAGCCCCCAGTGTGGTTGGTTCCATGTACCTGCCTTCTCATAGTTATAACTTTGACTTTTCTTCCTTCTAGAACACAAGCAGACGTTCCCAAACATACTGAAGAAGGGCTATCTGGAGATCAGGAAGAACCACGACAGTTACTGGCAAAGCTGTTACGCCGAACTCTCACCCTACAACTTACGCTTCTACAGCCTGGACAGCAGCGGGAACCAAAGCCTGTATGCCACGTACCAGCTGTCACACTTCCAGAGCATATCTGTGCTAGGCAATCTGGAGGCCAGGATGGTAGACACTGTTCTCTATGACAACTCTCAGCTGCAGCTAAAGGCGGAGTCCCCGTGGGAGGCACTGGACTGGGGGCAGAAGCTCTGGGAAGTGGTGCATGCCGCTGCACCCAATGGCACGGGCCGGCAGGATGAGCTGGCAAACTCACCAGGGTTTGGTCATCATGTTGACTGTACACAGAACCACTGTTTACAGAAGAAATCCAGTGGGCTGCTGTCCACCCCTGTCTTGGAGAGCCCCAAACAGTACCAAAACATCCTCAAATCAGGGACACTCTACAGATTGACCGTCCAGAACAACTGGAAGGCGTTTACATTTGTGCTGAGCAAGGCCTACCTGATGGCCTTTCACCCTGGCAAGCTAGACGAAGATCCGCTGTTGAGCTACAACGTGGATGTGTGTCTGGCGGTGCAGGTAGACAACCTGGATGGCTGTGACTCTTGCTTTCAAGTCATTTTCCCCCAAGATGTCCTCCGGCTCCGGGCTGAGACCCGCCAGAGGGCTCAGGAATGGATGGAGGCTCTGAAGACAGCAGCCAACGCGGCGAGGAGTTCCGAGCAAAACCTGCAAGTCACACTGCGGCCCAAACCCAAGGAGCAGATAGGTGGCCACGAGCTGCGGAAGAACAAGCGTCAGTCGGTGACCTCCAGCTTCCTGAGCATCCTGACAACCCTGTCTTTGGAGCGAGGACTCACCGCTCAGAGTTTCAAATGTGCAGGTATGGAGTGCGCGTCCAGCCTTGAGCTCGTTCACAAGCATCCCCAAATCCTACAATGGGAATTCATTTGTAGACCTTCTCATGTGACGGTCACAGATGTTTGTTAAAATCATCTATTTATAAAAAGTATCTCTCCCCCAAGAAGTGTACTTCATTGAAAATTTGTTGGGTTCCAGGCCAGCAGGGGCTGCAGAATGAGACCCCGTCTTTAAAAAAAAAAAAAATCTGAGCAGTCCACACCAGGCTGCGTTGGGATTGCCAGGAGCTGAAAGCTAGCAGCCAGCATGGGCTACAGATCAAGTGTCAGGTCTGTCAGGGCGACGGTGTTACAGTGTGAGACCTCGCCTCAAAAAATAGCCCAAGCCAAACCAAATCTGTCCATCCTAATACTCACTGGTCAAGCAAATAGAAGCCATGATGTATGTCAGTGAATCCAAATGACTTGGCCAAAGCCTGACTGGACTGGAATTTAGGCTTCCTGAGTTAGCCACGATCCCATTTCCTCTGCCTTCTTGAATAAAGGTCACTGTGATTGTGTATGCCCCAGATTGTTTCATGACAGAATTTTAAGTCCTAGTTACTACTGGCACAGGATTTGACAAAGTCATGGTCAATCTCAGCTGCCAGGTAGGCAAGGCAGATGTTCCTTCTTGGCAGCTGAGATTGACCATGACTTTGTCAAACCCTGTTGGACTCTGTAAAAAGTCAGCATTGCAGACAGCATGGAGATGGCTGGAAGGAGGGCACACATACGACAGACTAGACTTTGTGTTGAATCAGCCAGCTACTTTTGGAAGTGGTTTTGAAATAAGGCAATAGTTTTAGTAGTTCTGGTGTATTCCATTTGTCTTGTTTTTTATTTATTTTAGATATTGTTAGTGCTTCAGGGTCTCATTGGTGCATATATTATTATATTTCAGAATTCAGGCATACAACAGTATTAATTGCTTACAAGATAGGCATCCCGAACTCATAGCATACATATGTGACCTTAGATTGCGGATAGGGTCAGTCAGTCTCTTGTTATTGGAAGATGAGCGAATAGCCCAGTCTTGTTCACCAGGCTGTCCCCGGAGTAGGAAGAGAATGAAGGAAGCCTGGGGTGGTCTGCGAGGGCTGCCCTGTCGTTAGCACGTCTCACAGTTCTCTAAGATTGCTTCCCAGTGGAGTGGGCATTACCCATGGTGTGCACTGAGGAAATATTTGAGAACAAACCAAGTGCCCGGAGAATGGAGAAGTTAAAAACAGGACAAGGCAAAGCGAGGAGAGGAGGCAGCGAGAAGGAGCCGAGTAGAAGAGGGGAGGCAGGAATGGTGCTTTCTGGACGCATCACTGGTTCCCCGGGATAGCATGCCTCCCTCGGCTGTCTAAATTTGGTGCTCGATAAAGCCGGCTTGCTGGCGGGTGGTTGAGTGGGGGCGCGAGGGAAGCCAGGGCACGGGAAAGAAGTCTAAGCTCCTCGCTCTGCTCAGCTGTTGCTCATACTTGGGCTTGGCACTCCCGTGGGATGCAGGTGGGTTTCTAATTTAGGGTGGAGAGGATGCTAATTTACATACGTAACGTATAATGTAGCGCATTCCAAAGTAGGATCAGTTCTGTTCCATTGCCCCCCCTCTTTTTTTTTTTTCCGTCAGAGAGTGTGGTATCCAGCCGCCTCATGATACATGTAGTTTACAGACCTTTTCCTTTCCAGTGATAAACAGGGAAGGAATACTGGTTTCCTGCCTCAGGTTGGAAATTATTCTGTGTGTCCTGTAGGGGGCAGAGTCTCAAAAGAAAAAGGAAAAACAAAACAAAACAACTTGATAAACAAACCTGATTTTTTTTTTTTTAAATTACTCGGGGGCAGTTTGTTTTATCAAAGATAGTTGTAGCAGGTGGCCCTTGAGGACCTGTGTTTCCTACTGTTAATTTAAATGACTTGCTCTGCCTTTTGTCATTCTGTCGTCCTCCTCATGACAACGACTCGGAGAAAAGCAGCTGCATACATAGCATGTGTGCCTTCCCAACTGCCAGTCAGCCCCACACATCGGCTTTATGTATTTCTTGAGAAGCAAATTCCCAGAATTTCGTGGCTGTGTTGTATCTCTCTACACTGTTGAGTTCTGAATGCCAGCTTAGTTCCCCCTCCCTTTAAATATTCTGGATGAATAAGTGTTAACTAGAAGGTAGCCCTGGGTAGCTCTTTATTCTGACGTTATTTGGTCATTATTCAGAGGAGCCACAAATGCTGGCATTTACATATATAAAATAGGACAGTTGGCCCTATTTCACTATAGGCCTTATTCTTTCTCTAAGTGAAGAATTCTCTAGATCCCTTAAAATTTTTAGAGTCCCTATGGAAAAAGAATGCAGCATGACCATCCCAGGATTCCTGAGGTTATAGTTTTGAAGCTATATGCTGGTCCATAACTGCATATTTCTGCATGTTTAGACTTAGCTGCATAGCTTCCTCTTCAGTTCCATGGCTGCTTAGGAAGCTCTGGCCACAGAAACCTAACCATGTTCATGCCTGTCTCCTGGCGACCCCTGAACTTGAAGTTCCACCTCCTGACATCTGAAAACCCATTCCTGGGCTCATTCCATCATTTGCCGCTTGCCCAGTACTTCGGTGTGCCTGGGGTCAGCGCCTCAAAAGCGTGGATGCAGTAATCCCATTGGTAACTGCCCAACAGCAGCCATGACAAGATCCACAGGCCTTCAGAGGTGGTGCCAGCTAGGACCATGTGAGACTGCTGATCTTTCATCCTGTCTGGCCTATAAATAAGGCACTCGATTAGGTTGGAGCTCGTGTTTGACCATGACGTCACAGGAAGATCTTGAGCCGAGCAGCATGTGCTGGACCAGATGCTGCAGAGCTGTTATTTGGAGTTGCTTTAATATGGCCTCTGCGGAGAGCTTCTGCAACAGAAAATGAGGTGTGCTTCTTCGGTGAAATTATGGGCTGGAATTCAAAATTGTATCTGATAGTGAGGAATCTGTGATGCTCAAATATTAATGCTTAAAAGATGATTGTGCAGTTTATTAAAATATTTATGAAGTGCATCCCCATCAGAGGTTCTAAATTTGGTTACTCATAACTGCTTTATAAAACAGACTATAAGACAACATGCTTGTTTTCTTTAGGGATGCGACATGAGCATCTACTTATCCGCACTCAGCAGATACATGTGTTTTTGTGTGTGTTAGCACACACACAGTCATTTCCCAGCAGTCCAGAGACCTAGCAACTGAGTACAGCCATTTGAAGAGCCTGGGACTTCCTAGGTGTGACAGAGATGCAAGGCTCGTCCTCAGAAGTGCTCCTTGTGTGTAATCTGGAGGTGGTTTGGGTGGCCCACTCAGGGCAGCGCTCGCGAGTGGACCTGAAGCTGAGTGTGCTAAAGGAAGAAGAGTGGGCCTCGGCCTCCACAGTTTCCCGCTGTTGTTTTTACGGTTTTGCCCGGCTGCTGTTTAACCTCTGGGGACTGCTGCTGGAGATTGTGCATCTCTGGCATTAAGAGCTGTTACTTTCCTTTTTCTTCCCCTCCAGCCCTCGGGAGGGGGGGAACTTCAAGGGGGGGGGGATTTGCTGTGAATTCTTCAGCCATTTAGTGCAAATTCCCGTAATTACCGGCATTGTGTCTCCCCTGAATGGCACATAACACAGCAGAAGCCGTTCCTAATTGAGACCTTACAGGAGGTACAAATCCCTTCTTTGTTCAGCCTGACAAATTAGTGCCAGAAAGTGGCAGGGTCCGAGTGGGAATCAAAGGCAGGAAACACAAAGCTGCAACTTCAGGCTACAGTCATAACCCTCTGTGTCTGTCCTGAAGGGAAAAGAGTGATGACCGAGGAAAAAATGAAGGGTTGTTTGTTGTTGTTGTTGTTGTTCTTGTTATAAATTCTCTTGACATGACAGCGCCTCGGGGCTGCTCTATTTATTTAGTAAAAGTGATTAAATAGTAATACAGCAGGGCCCGCCCATTGTTTCCCTGGGCACCCCCATCTCACAGACCCCCGTTGCCTCGGCTAATTGATTGACAATGAACCTCTGAAAAAGAAGTTTGTTGTTGGGACCTGGGATGTGGGAGCATCCCTGCACCCTGGTGTGTCTCTGCCTGCATGTTTCATTTTATGTGAACTGTGCTCCAGTTTCCCCTCGCCTCACCTGACCCTTGCTCTCCCTGGCCTTACTTTTCTGGGCCGTTTTCTCCCTGACACCGACAAACAGGTAGTGGAGAGGTTGATCCTTGGGGTCAGCTCTCCAGCCCTGCTCCGGGGAGGCAGAAAACTGAGGTCTGAGATGGGGGGAAGGAGAAGGATCTCTGGCTTGATGGCAGTAGAGGTGGTTTCTGGTGTGTGGGAATGGCTGTCTGGAACTAGTCTTTGCTCTAAGATTTTTTTTTTCCTCTGAAATTCCTTGCTCAATTCCTTGAAGAAAGAAAGAAAGAAAAATCCTCACACCAATAGCATTTACATGTTGGGGGAGGGAGGAATTTTATTTTGGAGCCAGAAACAAAGCCTTTTTTTTTTTTTTTTTTTCCAGTGGCCCTCAGTTCCTGAGAAACCAGATTTGATTACTTGAGGATCAAATCTGGCTGTTGCTGGTGGAGCTCAGTACCTCAAGGATGCTGTAAGCTGTGGGAAGATGACCAAAGGCCTCTAGGCAGATAATTAATGGCCCCTGGTTATATATGCTCAACTAGCTAAGCTGAAGATAAATCCCTAATTTAACTCTGTTACAGCTGCAAAAACAAATCATTTCAAGCCCCCAGGAAAGCAAAATATATTAAACAAACAGTATCGACCTCACTAATACCACGTGGCATTTCATGTGATAAATGAGGGCATATTTCTGGCAAGCGCCTGTTTTATGATATCCTTCAGACATAAAGGATACCTTCACCCTAGCAATGCAAGCATCCCTGATAGAAAGTATAGAGAGGTTAATTATTCATTCGGTAGCTACCAGTTTGGAAGTAAGCAACATTTCTGTGTTGGGCCTCGTTAGTTACTTA